CATGAGAATCGCCTGGGAATCTTTTTAAAATCCTGATTTCTGGGCCTCATCCTCCGGAAATTCTGTTTCTTTATTACTAATGTTGTGGCCTCACCCCACAACAAAGAAACAGAATTTCCGGAGGATGAGGCCCAGAAATCAGGATTTTAAAAAGATTCCCAGGCGATTCTCATGTGCAGCCAAGGCTGAGCACCACTGACCTAAAGGGACTGTCAAAAATGTATAGCAGCTGGCTACACTGCAAACAGACTCAAGCAGAAACTCTGTGAGTGTGGCCCCAGAAATCTGCATTCCTCAGCACACACAGGTGATTCTTCTCACATTCTAATGTCCTGAAAAACAATGAAGTTAAAAAAAAAAAAAAAAAAAGGTGGGCAGCAATGAAAAACTGTAAGAATATAAGCACTAAAAATATGGAAATGTAAGATTTGCTTCAAATGTGAGAAAATTCTGTGAATTGTCCTATTGTTAGCATGAAAAGATATTGAAGTAATTATACACTGAGGATGGTAGAGCAGAAAGCTGTGAGCCTGGGTCCTTGAGGGCTGTAGCCAGGATCTGAATCAACCATGCCATCACCTACCTCTGAACTTCTAATGTTAGAATAGTAAGCCCCTAGCAACTAAACTAAGTAAATATGTACATTCTCGTTTGCAGTACATTTGCTTGTAATAAGGGGTAAAGAATGACTGCTTATGAGTATTAATGATATTTATGAGTACTTACTACACATCAAGTACTCTGTTAAGAACATCATATAGATATCACACCAAAATCTCACAACAAGCTTATGTAACTCACCATTATTAGTGTGAAAATAAGTGAGTTCCACTTATGTAGGTGAAGGATATCAAAGGTAGCAAATATATGTTTCGTGGATAATGAAAGGATAGGAACATGAGTGTAGTAAACTTCTTAATTCCCAGGTAGTTTTTCCTGGCATTTCTACTGCCCATCCTCTTTTGCATTAATTTAAATCCACCCTTGCACAAGTCAAGTTCAAATCCTCAAGAACATTTAAATATGAGCTTTCCCTTTTTGATTTCTCTGGATTTTGGATTTAGAACTAACTGTACTCTATATGATCTAGATTATACAATATTTGGGGTAGAAAACAATATTTTCTACCTAGAAGAATACATGGTATTAAATAATTCCTGTCAAACGATGACATCTAACCATTTTACATTTTTCACCTATAAAAATTTTCCATTATGTGACTTGAAAATTCTTATTGTAGGCTTTCCCATAATCATACTTCATTTAATGCAGCAAATATAATTAATTCGTTGCTAATAGGTAACAGTTCTCTGTGGTTTTCAGCTAAGTAATGTTTCTCTTGACTTCTCTCTAGTTATCCTGTTGATGGAAATTTGGGAACATATACAACTACTTTTTAATGAAGCATTGAATATTCCTCCTCCCCTGCTTCCCTTCACCTGCCAGTTCTCTTTAGCATTTTGCAATGATCAGAACTGAGGCATTCACATATACATAAGTGTGTATTTGAGGAAATGATATGGTTTTCAAATATGCTGCTATTGGATGTCTTCATTTTGTCATGTTTCTAGATATATGTAACAGATTCTTGAGGGAATAAAAATCTTAGTTTCCTTTACACTTGATTACATTGAGGTTTTAGAAAACTGTCTCCATGAGTTACACATGAATTGTTCATATTGATCAATTTATCAGAAAAGTTGTCAACAGTTTAGATTTATTCCACTAGAAGGAATTTAATAATTTGCAAAATACATTATTTTGCATACACTGCCTATCTTCAAACAGTGTTACAAGGTAAATAGTAACTGGTCATAGGATTTAAATACTTTTATAAATTTTGCATTGTAACTAAAAAGATATTCAAAGAGTGTTAAGAGAACTTTTTAAGATTAGGTCTCTTGACAATAAATTGCATTATTATACTGTTCTTATTATAATTAGATCAATTAAATCTATGGAATGAGGTCAAACATTAAAAAAGATATGGTTATATATCCAGTAGCATCTTTGAATTCCAGTAGCTCCATTTTTTAGGAAATGCTAATTTTGTGATCAAATATTTTCTTGATTTTTACATTGAGACATATGGCATTGAGACATAAGGAGGTTTCAATACTAAATCTTCAGGGGAGAAAAAAAGAATTTCCCAATGTGCAATTATTTCTATATTGCTTTCAGCCTTTATTGCTATTTAAGGAATGAAAATATAGAAATCAAACTACAGAGTACAATCATCTTGACTACTACTGTAAAAGTAAGTCATTGTGACTCACATTTCATGAAAATAATACATATAAATATGTTCTTGGATGTATATGTATATAATCTCTATAAGTAAAATCTCCATTAAAATCATGTTCTAAATTGAACATGCCGAGTAATTTTTCATGAGCACAACACTTTAAGAGTGTATATTTTATAATTTGGAGCTGCAACAAACCCACAAAGTGAACAAATTCTAGTTTAATCTGTTCCATTTTGCTAGTGCACTATAGCAAGGATTCATACATATATTACTTTAATGTCACACTCTTGATAACAGTAGAATGCATAATTCAATTTTCTATTGTGATTTCCTTGGAGGAAAAGTTGGACAAAAGCCAATTATTCTTAAATGTCTCTAGGCTGTTTTGAAAAGTTAATATGTTAAGTTTTTAAATAATGTCAGGAAGGGCTATTGTACCACACCAACCAATTCCTTAACAGTGATTAACGAGAGGAAAAACTGTGTCATTCTGCCCAGTGCTAACTTTGCTGGTCGAGGGAACAGCTCACAACTTGGTAATGTGTGTCCTGGTAAGACAAATTAATTAAAAAGTTTATTTTCAACAGGATTCATTAGGAGTTGTTGCTTTCTAAACTTTTACATATTTTGTTTCTAAACCTTTAAAAATATTTTAAAATAAAAGCTTTTAGAGAGTGAATATACGTAATAAAGTCCTTCACATCACCGGTATGCTTTCAGGAAGACGTTACAAAGAGTAATTTTTCCAGTCTTGGAATGAAGAGAAAGGAGGAGACTGCAGAACTTACCTTTTTGCCCTGATTAAGTGGTATTGAACACAATACTGACAAGGTCTCTGAATGAGCCGCGATGGTTAGTTCAAATAGAGCCGATTAAAGGAAGATGGAGCACACTGTCTTAGGTTAAGGCACTAATCTTTACATATCTGTGTATTTGTGTGTAGGGAGGAAAAACCGTTTTATTTTTATTTTTTTAAATATATCTTTATTGCCCTGGCTGGTTTGGCTCAGTGGATAGAGCGTCGGCTTGCGGACCAGAGGGTCCCAGGTTCGATTCAGGTCAAGGGCATGTACCTTGGTTGCGGGCACATCCCCAGTAGGGGGTGTGCAGGAGGCAGCTGATCGATGTTTCTCGCTCATCAATGTTTCTAACTCTCTATCCCTCTCCCTTCCTCTCTGTAAAAAATCAATAAAATATATTTAAAAAAATATATATCTTTATTGATTTCAGAGAGGAAGGGAGAGATAGAAACATCAATGATGAGAGAGAATCATTGATTGGCTGCCTCCTGCACGTCCCCTACTGGGGATCTAGCCTGCAACCCCGGCATGTGCCCTTGACCGGAATCGAACCTGGGACCCTTTGGTCCACAGGCTGACGCCCTATCCACTGAGCCAAACCAGCTAGGGCAAAACCGTTTTATTTTTAAAGTAGACGTCACGATGGATGGTTCTGATTAACTTGCAAAATCTCTTGAAGGTTGGGCAAAGCTGACTACCTTTTAGCATCTGCATTCCGCGTGTTACTCGGTGTGTTTTGTCTTTTCCCCACACGAAAGAAGGGTGATGGGTAAAGACGGCACAAGTGAACTGTAAGAGCCAACAGTTGGGCATCGGCAGAACCAGCAAACCCAGAAGACGCCGGGATGTTACGCGCGGGTCCGGGGGGGCCTGTTGGCACCGGGGGCGCCGGTTAACCCTTTGCGCGCTGAAGAGGGATCCCAGGTTGAGAGGCCGACCCTCAGCCACGGAGAAGGGGCGTCCGGCACTCGTGGGGAGGGTGGGCCCTCCTCTCCCAGAAGGAAACGAGTTGGGAGGCACTTGGGTTGCCCGGCGTGGGCGTCACGGCCCGGGACGGGCAACGAGTCCGGCAGGGAGTGTAGAGAAGCATTTCAAATCCGCTGACAAATGGTCAGCCTGAACCTGCCGTCCCCTGGAGCGCTCGCCCTCCCGCGCCCGCGGCCCTGCTCCTGGGCCCCGGGGGGAGGGGGGCGCGGGCCGTGGGTGGCTCGGGCGGGGCCCCCGGGGAAGGCGCCCGCGTCCGCCTGCGGCAGTCAGCGCGCTCCAGCCTCCACGGTCGCGGGAGCCCCCGACCCCGCGCCGGCACAGCAGCTGTGACTGACGTCGCCACCGCCCCGCACGCCCCAGCCACCCCCTCCGCCCTCGCCACCCCCCGCCCCTCTACGTCATGGAAACACGGACGTCAGACCCTCCCAGCCAATCGCAGGCGGCGGCAGGAGGAAAGGCGCTTGAGACACGGGGCGGGGGCAGCGGCGAGTCCCGGCGCTCTGGGAAGGAAGAGAGGGAGGGCCGGGCGGAGGCGTGGGCCCCCGCCCCACGCTCCAGCACCCTTTCCGGACCGCGCGGCAAGTTCTCCTCGCCGGGCGCGCGCTCGCCAGCCGGGGGCGCGCTCGCTGGGTCCTCCCCTTAAACGCCCCCTCCGCGCCGCCGGGCTCCCAGTCCCGGTCCCAGGCCGGCTCTCACCGCGTGCGCGCGCGCCCGCCCGCCCCCAGGCTCCCCGCGGGTCGCGTCACGTGACCGCGCCCAGCCGAGGCGGCAGCGGCGGCGGCGGCGCGAGCTTCGGCGGCGGCGGCAGTGGCAGTGGCAGCGGGAGCAGCTGCGCCGCCAGCGTGGAGCGGGAGGCGTGTGGGTGTGAAGAGAAGGGAGCACCAGACCGGAACGGGTGAGAGTTCTCTCCCCCTGCCTCCTCCGACAGTCTTGCGGGCCACCCGGTGCCAACGGGGCTCTAGCCCTCAGCTGCGCGCAGCCCCCTCGTGCTCGGCCGTCCGCCGAGTGGCCGCCGGCCCCGCCCCTAGCGGGTCGGGCTGCGGTGCTCAGCGAGGGGTCTGCACCCCGCCCGCCGCTGCCTTTGCGGATGGCGGCGGGAGGCTGGCGGAGCTACCCGTGCTGAGCGCGGCGCGCCCAGTGTGCGGCTTTGCGGAGCCGAGGAGGCGGGTCCTGCGGGGACCCGGGCGGCCACTCGGCGGCTGCCGGGCTCTGGGCGGGGGCCGAGCCGGGTGCCGCCTCCTGCTCTGCCGCCTCCTCACTGTGCAGCGTGAGTAGGGAGCCCCGGCTGGTGGACGCCGAGCCTCTCGGCTCCGTAGCCTCATCCCCGAAGTGCAGCCGCATCTCCGCGTGGCGCGCTCAGCCCTGCGAGCAGGCTGCGGACTCGCCGAGGACCGAGCCCCTGTGCTCTGCGCTTCCCGCTGTCCCTCACCCAGCCCCGACCCCCGGCAGCCCCCCCTTCCTTTTCTCCTTTGGAAAATGGTTCCTGCTGCCGGGCGAGGTGAGTGGCGGCCGCCATCCGCCCGCGGCCGGGGCGATGGGGCAGGTCACCTGCGGGAAGGCCCGGCGGAACTCGGGGCTCGGGGAGTCGCGGAGGGGGTGCTGACAGTTGGGTGCCCCGCGCCCCACAGCGGCTTCAGCAGGTCCGGGAGAAGTTGGCGGGGGCGTGCGGGGGGCCTCTTGCAGGTTGTCGCCTGCCGCGCCCGCACGGGCGATCGTAAAGGTGAGCGGGTTCCTGGGAGTGCGCCTTAGCGCCGGGAGTCCCCGCCCAGGGCCCGAGGGACCGGCTCGGCGGGGCTCCGTGTGTGCACTCGCCGCTCTCCTCCAAGCCGCCTCGGCAGAGCCGGAGCTCATCCCGTCGCCAGCCGCCCCCGCCCAGCGCGTGGTGACCTTCAGGGCAGCGGTGCCCGGCTCTCCCTCCCCGCGCCCTGAGGGGGTCACCCCTTTAATCCCCGCTGCGGCCCCACTGGGTCTCCGACGGGGACCCCTCGCCAGCCCCTGTGCGGGGCTGCTGGACTGATTCGTATCACACCGACGGCGATTCCCTGGGAGTTGGAGAGCCCTCTCGTCTCGCCTTTCTCCCGGCGTCTCCTGTCTTCCCCAGCCTCCCTCCCCAGGATGTTCCCGGCTGCTTCCGATTCGCATTTTTTCGATTTAGTTTAAGGGGGGGGGGCACCTTGCGTCCTGCACCCCCTTTGTGGAAAGGGTCAGTGAGAACGAACCGGGTTCCCGTTGCGGGGTTGGGGATATGCTCCCTGTGTTACATTTGCAGGAGAATCCTGTGGCTAAGCTAGTTAGCGACCCCTGGTTCTGTGCCGCGGTCACTAGCCAGGCTGGTCTCCGTGCGCATTTCATTCACCAGTTTTCTGCGGGACTCGCAGTGCTGGCAAGTGTGTTCGCATCCTGTGCGGTGCAGCGGGCTGGACGTCCAGGGCAGGGGGTGCTCGGGTGGGCGGGAGGGGTCTCTAAATCTGCGGAGGGCTTGACCCTCCTTCGCAGGCGTATTTTTACCTTTCCTGCGGGTTAGATCGCAGCAGCCAGCCACTTTAGCTGCTATGCATTCCACTTTTCTGGGTTTATTAATAATCTAATGGCTCCTGTTGGTATCGATTGCTGTTCATGATAGATTACTTAGGGATTTTTTTTTTCATACGTGTGTAGGTCTATGCTTGTATCTGGACTGTCTGCCTTTCAACATGGAAGCCTTTGTTGTGTTTAACCTCCTCCACCTGAGGACGGTCTTACTTTAAAATAACGCTCTTGTACAGCGTGGGCGTATTTTCTAAGAAGTACTTGTAAGGATCTGCTTTGTATGAGGCTCTCCTTGAACAGAGGGTGTGTAACCCTTTGGATGGTGGCCCACAGGAGTGAATGGAGGGCCTTCACCGCTTGCCCTGCTGCTAGCCTTCCCCAGACTCCTTATCCTTGTGAGTGGCACAGACGGATCCGGGGAATTAGTAGGATTGGAGGGGAACCTCTTTTTGTATTTGGCCTTTCTGCTGGGTCCCCCCTCCCCCTCTTTTTTTTTCTTTTTCCACCTGATGAGTTCAGATTTGAAGTAAATAGAAACATTTTCTTTAAAGGAGACATTGAAAGCTAGTATATGAAATGGGCTTATTTAGCCATGACTTCAGGGGGATGTTTTTAGCTTCTACCTTGCTTTGGGTGAGACAGTTAAATTGCTGTAATTAAGGGTGAATCTCTGTCCTGATTTTGGCTTGGATGTAACTGCTAAGATCTTTGAAAAGTGTTATTGCCTACCATATAGTCTGCAAAAGTGAGTCACAATCGGGTGAGTTGAGGACAGAGCGCCACCTTTAATTTAAAATTTCATGATTTTGTTTTATTAAAATGGTGAAAATTCAGAGTACGCCTTCTTGATTTTTATTGCAGTTGTCATTACTGGCATCCTCATTTAGGTGTATGAGATGGTTTTGTCTTCATTTTCCTGTAATTCTTGACTCTTTTAGGGGGATTTCTGCAACTATATGGGAAATCATGGTTTTTAAATTGAAGCTTGGGGTTCAATGTAGGATTTTGAGATGAGGTGAGAAACTTGATTTCTGCTTATGATAAAGTAATAGGGGCAATGATATCTAGACACTTAGAAAAAGAAATAAGGAAAGTAATAGCTGCATTGTATGTGACAGCTAGCATTGACACCAAATAAGGGTTCCTACCAGGATGATAGTGGTCTTACCATTATTTTTTTTTTAGCTTGTGTGCTATTAACATTCTAAAGTAAACATGTACAATTATTAACGTTGCTTGAATAAGGTCTAGTAATTCTTTTTGTTTGTTACTCATCTTCCAACAGTTTGCCTTTCATAGTTTTGCAATTACTTGTTTTTAAATAATACAAATAAGGACTTGCAGCAGGACTAACATGCAAAGTTATTAAAGACCATGTTGGAACAAGTGGTTCCTATATATCCTCTCGAATATATCACATATAAAGGAAAATGGAGTTTTTAATGCTGAGAAACCAAATGCTATAGTGACTGTTGAACTGGTGAGTTTCCTTCCCTGCCCACTTGCTCTGTCCCCCTTCCTCCCAAATAAAAATAATTAAGGTACACTATCTCTTTAGGCACAGAAGACACAAAGATTTATTAGGTCTCAAGTAATGAATAAATTAATGTATGGATAGTACCAAATACAGTTTTAATTATAAACCACAAGCTATTATTGTCCTATCTGCATTTAAGTTTCAACACTTATGATTCCTTCACAAACTATAGTAAAACATAAGCTATTGAGCTATAGATACATTTTATTAAGTTAAAGCTAAACAAATCTGCTTGAGGTGAAAGGTGGTTTATGCTTTTTCAATCTGTGGAATATGGCCCCAGGTTAAAGGACATTTTTGAGCAATTAGTTCGATGTATGCAGAGTAATTGTACATTGTTATGCACACTTTGGTAGAATCCTTGATTTGGGGATTTCATTTTTTTTGACAGATATGTTAACTTCATTTTGGATGAAATAATCTCTTACCATATAAATTGAGTTGTATAGGTCCACAGGTTTTAAGAGGAATGGCTAATTACAACTAATACTGGTCTTTTTCAATACTACTAGTAGAAAAAAGGAGTTATTTGCTCTTTTATTTCCCGTTATATTTTTACACATACATGCAGTTGAAGCTGGTTGTTTTCACTTTTTAATTTTGGAATTTTGTAATGAATGAGCAAAAGAAAAAAAAAGAAAAATCCACAAATAAAAAGGAATAAAGATCAGGAAGCAGAAACTTAAGAATTATATTTTTTGCAGTTTGGGTAAGAATATTTACTCACCTAGTTGAAAAAGAATAATTATTTTCTAGTAGGTGTCATGATATATAGAAGGGTACTGAAAGCAGCTTATTTGGGAATTTATAGAATCTGAGATAACATTGAAAGAAAACGATAAACTAGTTTTGAGAATAATTTAAAAAAAGAAATAACTTTTAATGAGATATTTTTAGCTTTTCAGACGTTTTGTATACAAACATACACATTGCCTTGTTAAAATTTATTATGGAAATTGTCAAATATATGAAAAATACAGATAGAGAATGAAAACAGTAATTGTGACAATTATCAACTCATGGTCTATCTAATATATCTTTAAACAATAGATGTTAGGAATGGGAACATAGGACAGGTAACTGAATTGATTTCTTATGCTTTATATTTATAGTTTACAGAATATAGTATTCTATGTCTAATACAAATAGTATTCTATATCTAATTGAATCTGAAGGTCAGTTTTTATGTTTTTTATTGTTTCCGTAATGCTCTATTTTATAGCAGGCAACTAAAGACTATGCCTCTCAAATTTTGCTCTCTTGATAATGCCTTTGGTTTATAAATTGCTTTACAATGTTTAAGAATGTGTTTACATAGTATCTTATTTGATTCTCACAACATATCCTGAGATGAGTAATCAGTTGAACCATCCTGCCCCCCAACTCTGCCGCTGTCCTGGAAGGTAAAATGATTTCTAGGTCCTAAGGTCATATAGCTAGCCACCAGATTACCCAGAACTACTTTAGGTGGCTTCTAGTTTTTGCTCTATTGCTCTTTCCATTATACATGTATATGTAAGTTTGTTAAAGTTATATGAATTTATGAAAAATCAGTTTCTGACCAGAGTAAATTTTGTAGTGGAATATAAACAGGTTTGTTTAGGTTTAGCTTTATAAGTTTAATCATTGCTTGTATTTGGTATAATGTAAACAGTTCATGCCCTGATTTACTTAACAACTGAGTAAATAAATTTGAACATATTTGAAATACTGTACTTTTAATATTGCGGATTGGATTATTTTTAAATTAGCAGTTATGTTTTCAAACACCCATTGGTCTCTGAAATTATTTAGGTGTCTCTTAAATCTTGAGTTAAAAATAAAATGGCCCATAAGTTTCTTCTTTTAATTCCTGCTATAATTTTTTTTGTGTACTTGTTTGTTTTTTCCCCACAACATGTTTATTACCTAAGTCTTTTTGAAATATTAATCTGTGAATGAAATTTAGTTTAAAAGGCTCGCAAGCCAGGAGATTTTAATTCTTGAAATCCAAAACCTTATTATAAATCTAACAGGGACGGTAGTGGTTCTCCAGCATCAGTGTGCATGAAGATCACCTGGGGGAGTTATTGAAAGTGCAGATTCCCTGGCATTGCCTCTGCAATTCTGATTCAGCATATTTGGGGTGGGGCCTAGTAGTTTGCATTTTGAAAAACATTGATGTTGAATTTATACCTAAGTTAAACCTATGTAGTAGAGATGTTTTTATAAATTAGAAGGACATCATTGATTTTTTTTGACTTTGAACGTAGCGGAATCAGTGTTTTCAAAGTTTTGACTATTATAGCCACGTTTGATTTATGGATTTGGTGGTTTTGTGGCAATTGTAAAATTGATAAATTGAAAATATTTCCATTATAGGTATGCATTGTCTTCTTTCAGAAGGTCCACCTGTGATTATATATTAAGTTACTTATTAAACACTGTAAACTCCTAGACAGAGAATATTCTCTTTTTTTTTTTTCATGCCTCAGTGTCTGCCATTTCCAAGTGACTTGAATGAACATGGGGGCTTATTTTTGTAAAAATAATGCATGCTGTGTCAATATAGTACTGTGTATTTATGCTCTAGTCTAGCTCTTATTTTTTGTTAGCAGAAAATACATTGGCTTGTTCCTTCAAACTAAAAGGACATAAATTGGTGAATAAGTAGTAATTCTTACTAGTTTCAGTTAAAAAGCAGCCGTTCCTTCAAAAACAGCAGCTTAGTGCCTACTTATTTTTAAAAACTATTGATGATATAAGACTAATTGATAATTTACCATTCTGTGCATTAAAACAGAAGTTACTGCTATTTCACTTAAATGGTAAATAACAGATTATAGTTCAACAATTTATTGTAAGGTCCATTTGTTATAAACTGATCTGACTTTTTGAACTATTTTATCTGCTAGTTACTAGTATATACACACATGGATTACTTTCTATTTAAAACCAGTTTTAAAATGCAGTTGTTTTTGCGTCACTTGTAACAGTGTAGTAAATAGTTGCATCTGTATTTAAAATACATATTGTAATGAAATTAATTTCAAAGCAAATTCAGCTCAAGACTGTGCTTTGTATTTTCCAAAACTTGAGGTTTGTTGGCTATGCCTTAGGATATATTTAGGAATCATGAGTTATAATTACAGATGACTATAGGAATTTAAACTAATAAAGCTTTCTGGCAGTGGAATCCAGATAAACTATGGGTGAAGTTTTCACCAAGTTCTTTTAAACTCTTTTTTAATTAAGATTTTTCTAGGAGAGTATCACCTGTTTTAAACAATATGCAGTATTTTTAGTTACCTCTTTATTAATAATAATATTTGGTATTTCTACGTAAGATAACTCCCAACAATATGGTTTCTCAAAATGTTGGATACCTGCTTTGTGTTAATATTACTGTCACCTGGGCCTCTGGGGGAAGGAATAAGGATAGTTTTGAATGGACCAGTGCTTGCTTACACTGTGAAATCTGAGATTATACTGCTTAACTGTAAACTGGTATAACTACTATAAAGACATGAAAAATTTAGGAGTAAAAGTTATTATTTTCTGAAAAGTAGATCTTAAAAAGGATTTGATTGTTTTAAAGATGCTGTTTAAACAACTTGATTATTAACAATGTGGATTTATTGTTCATTGTATTAATTCAGTGAGTTTTCTCTCAGAAGGATTTCAAACAATCTTTTGCTCTCAAAATTCTCAAATCTGCTGCTTTAGTCTACCTTTCATATTTGTGTCAGAATTTATTTTTTGATTGTAGCTTTCCTGCTGTCATTTTTTCACTAAAACTTTCAGTGGTTCCTCATTTTTCTCCTTTATCAACATGCACCTTGACTCTGGAGGCTTTTTATAAAACAGTTCAGTGTTTTCTAAAGTGTTTTTTAGAACACTGGTTCTAAAAAATACTAATAGGGGGGTTTCATGGGGAGAGGGAGCAAAACCAAAATCCAAGATAGGCTGGTTTATGCAGTTCTTTTATTTGGGACTTCACCCATCCTTTGATACGCTAATATGGACTGAGTCTATCTAAATGGATTTTGTGTTTTGCTCCCCTATTTCACAGAATCTCTTTTAGTTGAGCATCTCACCTGATGTTTTTATATATTACCTAACCAGGATCATAACTTCGTACACCTCCATGGGGTACTGCTCATAGAGAACACAGTATGAATGGTGTTTCCTGGGAATTGAGAGCAGCGTTGCAGTACTGTGGTACTGCTGACTGCTCACTTACACGATAGTCACATAGTCTGGCAGTGTCCTACATACAATCCTGCTCATTCCCTTTGCTGTGACTTTATGTGTGTTCTTCCTGTCACCTGATAGGACCCTCCCTCTTTTTGTCTATCTAAATGTTCCCATCCTTCAAAACTCAGCATTAGTTTACCTTTCTGTCATTACTGATTAATTTTTTTTGACTGAATTTTTCTACATTTGTAATCTGGATCATACACTTCCCCATCACTATATATCCTTTTGTTTTGGTCAGTATGTTGAATTGGTATTTTTTTGCCATACTGTTTTAGGACTTAGGCATTTGTTAAGGTAAAGCAGATGAGGTTAAGGAATTTTTCTTGGAGATTTTCTAAAGCCTTTTTACCTTTGAAATTTTAACTTTGCTCAGATGGATTCATAGGACAACCTGTTTTACTTTTGGAGAACAGCTACATTTCATAGAATGTTGTTAGGGTAATAGAATTTAGCTCCTGTATAGGAAGTCTTTACCATTTCTGAATTTTAGTGCAGTAAGTAATTTGCTTTAGAATTTATTCTGATTATATTCATTATAATAGCTAAAATTTATATCTTAAAACGTCCACTTTCACTATTCACAAGGCATATGACCTTTTTTCCTTTCATCTGGACTGATGGTCTAAAGATGCGTTTGTTGGATATGTAATCTATTAGCACGTTGCAGTACGTAAAATGCCATAATTTGAATCATATATTGTGAT